GTCCCCAGAGTCCCCAGAACAGGGTCCCCAGGACAGGGTCCCAGTGTCCCCAGGACAGGGTCCCCATCATCCCACGGTAGGGTGGCCATTCTAGGTCCCCCCATGGCTGGCACAGGGTCCCCAGGGCATGAGAAAGGGTCCCCAGGACAGGGTCCCAGTGTCCCCAGGACAGGGTCACCATCATCACACAGTAGAGTGCCCATTCTAGGTCCTCACATGGCGGGCACAGGGTCCCCAAGGCATGGGATGGGGTCCCAGTTGGCCCAGGACAGGGTCCCAGGGTCCCCAGAGTCCCCAGAACAGGGTCACCATCATCCCACGGTAGGGTGGCCATTCTAGGTCCCCACCCAGTGTGCACAGGGTCCCCAGGACAGGGTCCCCAGAGTCCCCAGAACAGGGTCCCCAGGACAGGGTCACCATCATCACACGGTAGGGTGCCCATTCTAGGTCCTCACATGGCGGGCACAGGGTCCCCAGGGCATGGGACGGGGTTCCAGTGGGCCCAGGACAGGGTCCTCATAGTCCCCAGAGTTCCCAGGACAGTGTCCCCAGGACAGGGTCTCCATCATCCCATGGTAGGGTGCCCATTCTAGGTCCCCACCCAGCAGGCACAGGGTCCCCAGGGCACGGGAAAGGGTTCCAGTGGGCCCAGGACAGGGTCCCAGGGTTAGGGTCCCAGTGTCCCCAGGGTCCCCAGGACAGGGTCCCAGTGTCCCCAGGACAGGGTCACCATCATCCCACGGTAGGGTGGCCATTCTAGGACCTCCCAGTTCCCAGGACAGGGTCTCCAGGACACGGTCACCATCATCCCACGGTAGGGTGGCCATTCTAGGTCCCCCCATGGCTGGCACAGGGTCCCCAGGGCATGAGAAAGGGTCCCCAGAACAGGGTCCCCCGTACAGGGTCCCAGTGTCCCCAGAGCTCCCAGGACAGGGTCTCCCGGACACGGTCCCCATCATCCCATGGTAGGGTGGCCATTCTAGGTCCCCCCATGGCTGGCACAGGGGCCCCAGGGCATGAGAAAGGGTCCCCAGAACAGGGTCACCATCATCACACAGTAGAGTGCCCATTCTAGGTCCTCACATGGCGGGCACAGGGTCCCCAAGGCATGGGATGGGGTCCCAGTTGGCCCAGGACAGGGTCCCAGGGTCCCCAGAGTCCCCAGAACAGGGTCACCATCATCCCACGGTAGCGTGGCCATTCTAGGTCCCCACCCAGTGTGCACAGGGTCCCCAGGACAGGGTCCCCAGAGTCCCCAGAACAGGGTCCCCAGGACAGGGTCACCATCATCACACGGTAGGGTGCCCATTCTAGGTCCTCACATGGCGGGCACAGGGTCCCCAGGGCATGGGACGGGGTTCCAGTGGGCCCAGGACAGGGTCCTCATAGTCCCCAGAGTTCCCAGGACAGTGTCCCCAGGACAGGGTCTCCATCATCCCATGGTAGGGTGCCCATTCTAGGTCCCCACCCAGCAGGCACAGGGTCCCCAGGGCACGGGAAAGGGTTCCAGTGGGCCCAGGACAGGGTCCCAGGGTCCCCAGAGTCCCCAGGACAGGGTCCCCAGGACAGGGTCCCAGTGTCCCCAGGACAGGGTCCCCATCATCCCATGCTAGGGTGCCCATTCTAGGTCCCCACATGGCTGGCACAGGGTCCCCAGGGCGTGGGACAGGGTCCCAGGGCCCCCAGGACAGGGTCCCAGTGTCCCCAGCCCAGGGACCCCACAGCCCCAGCCCAGGGTGTCCATCTGAGGTGCCCACACAGCTGGCACAGGCTCCCCAGCCCCTGTGACAGGGTCCCCACGTCACCCGCACGGGGTGGCCATTTCGGGTCCCTGCAGAGCTGGCAGTGCTCCATGTCCATGAGGTGGGGTCCCCGGCGTCCCCAGCACGTGGTCACCGCGGTCCCAGCGCAGAGCAGCGATGCTGGGTCCCCAGAAAAGGTCCCCAACATCACGGGGCTCCAACCTGGGGGTCTCCAGCACCCCCAGCCCAGAGCTCTCAGCGTCCCCAGCCCCGGGTCACCACGGATCCCCCATCACGGGGCTCCCAGGAGAGTGCCCAGGGCCCTGGGACGAGGTGGCCATCTTGGCTCCTCACACGGCTGCCACGGTGTCCCCAGTGTCCTCATTTCGGGGTCCCCGGAGCCCCCAGCAAGGGGTCCCCAACATTTCCAGCCCCACGTCCCCAGTGCAAAGCAGCCCCGCGGGACCCCCAGGGTCCTGAGCACCCCCGCGGCGGTGCTG